AACACTAAATCCACATTTTTAGCTTTAACTATACTTTTGAGTGAAATTCCACAGAATTTTAAAAATGTAATTCTGCCTCAGATTGCACTGAGCTTCTCACTTTTTGTTATATGTGATCACTAAACATGAAGCTAGCAGCTAGTTAGCTTAACACAATGACTGAAAACAAGGGGAATCTACTAGCCTGCGCTGGCTAACAGCCCTAGCCTACCAGCACAACTATTTACAATTCTGTATCATTCATACAAATGCGTTCGTGACAAGAAATCAAGTTTTTTACAGCGCTGATATCAATTATTGGTAATCAAGAAAGGCCGATTACTGATATTTGGAACCGATGTACATTAAGTGGTATATATTTTTAGCATTTGATAGCAGGAAACCTGTCATTCACAATTAGGTTACCTCATCATTAAGGATTATAATTACGCAATAGAGAAATTAGAAATTAGAGTGATGACATTAGAGCATCATGCGACATTGGCTACATTGCTGTCCTCTGTTTACGATGAGATCAACAGCTTGTCTCCTGCTTGTCTTCTCTGTTTTCTTAATCTTTCACTTTCATATCCCACTGAGGCACAAATCTTTGAGCATTATTTCATGTTGTTTTCCAGACTCTGTTTTGGAAAATCTGTGCCTGCCTCCTAACTTAGCCGTTAGCATAGCCTTAGCCAGTGTGAAAGAAGCCAATGTCCCGATTTGAGTCGATGGCTGTGCTTCTTGTTCAGTTTTTACAGGTTGTGTCGCTGCTTTATTTCAACTTAAGAACCTAATTTGCTACCTCACCTTCACCGAAGCTGCTTGACTGTTAAAATGTGCTCGTCTGTCTCTCTGTGTAAACAATCGCTTTCAGTGATTGGCTGTTACTCGTAACATGCAACCAATGACATAGTGCTGCAGGCGGGACATTGCTGAGACCACAGAGGGACTCAGATGGATATTGATACCAAAGCATTTAATTTATTTAGAGATAATTGGTTAATAAAAATGTAGATATTTAAAAAAAAAAAAAAAAAAAAAGCTAAATATCAACCTTGATAATTCTTGTAAAACTGAAAAACAGGTTTTGTTCTTTAGTTTGAACAAAGGCACTCCTTAATGAGCATTGGAGGTGCTGCTCTGTTGGTTCCATAATTATGAAACATTGCATTAAGCTAAGCTAACCAGCCGCTTACGTAAACTTAATACTTGTTTTTATATTTTTGGCTTGAGAAATCGATCTTGTCGCTCCTCCAGAAGAAATCAAAATACAGTTTCTTCCGAAAATGTTGGCATATTCCTTTAAATCTCATTTTAAGTGTCTTTAGTTTTGTGATGCGATAAAAAAATTTTGTTTGTAGAGCACCTGACCTGAATATTTCTACTGCGGTATGTAAATAAAAATCTCCTATGGCTAGCTATTGTGCACTGTTGTTTCATGCAAAGAGGCGTGGAGGTGGACTTGTGCTGCTCTTCTCACTAAGTTTGATTATTGTGGTTCTATTTAGTGGCCTAGTTTCCCCCAGAGAGCCAGAATGTCTCTCTGTCACTGTCACTGTCACTCCTCTCTCTTTCTTTGCTCATTCCTGTTCTTCCTCCACATTTCCTCCTTCTTCCTCGTTTAGGTTCCCCTCTCTCTCTCTCTCCCTTTTTCTGTGGCCTCCTCAGCCTCTCTCGCCCTTCACTCTCCCTCAGTGTCCAGAAGAAAGGGGTGGCGCATTCCAAAAGCCTGGAGACCATTCCCCTCTTTCAGCCAGTGGCCCACAGAGTGACAGAGGAATTAGAATAAGAATAGCTGCCCATTCACCCCGGTGCCCCGGTGACGAGCTGGAGGGAGCAAAAAAAAAGAGGGAGGAGAGGAATGAAGGGGGTCCCGCACTCTTTCCTGCGCCCCCATTGGCCGGCGGCGTTCCCTCTGTTTTTACATCGCTGCCGTCAGTTGCGCTTTCAAGTTTGTTTTACGCATTCTGGCGCACATACACGCCGCGCATGTGCATGCACGCGTAAATGTACACATTGGGGGTTGCAGGGCTCGAACACGTGCACCGAGATACAGGAACCTGCACCGTGTTGAGCTGAAACCGGCCTACGGGGACGCAGAGCGGCCGGTTCTGAGCAGAGGAGGTGACCCGGGGGCTGAGTGAGTACGAAGCTGGGCTCAGTTGTCGTGATGTTGGTTGTGATGGTTTATACTGGCTGCCCGGTGGCTTCCTGTGGTTTCTGTGGTGTTTACGGTGAACTTTTTTGCATTAAATGTGACCTTGTGCTCACGCCTCCCCTGTAGGTTGCCTGTGGCTAAACTGTAAACTCCTTCAACTGTGTGGCTGTTAAAATTTAACAATAGCACTGTGGTTTAACAGTAAGATTCCTGAGCAGGTGGTCTGTGGTGTAACATCCAGTTCATTGATCGTTGTCATGTCTCTGAGCAGATTTTGGATTTCACTGTGACATAGAGAGGTTTTTATAATATTGCTTCTCAAGCTCTCCAGCAGCAAACCGGCTTCAGATTTTTGTGCAGATTGTAGATTGTGCAGTGAGAAGCCCCCTGTGCACTAAAGCTTCTTATCTCAGCTCTGGTATGAGCTCACAAGAACGACGATTATGGAAAAATGACCCTGTACCTTCTACTTCAAGAATCCATCTAGGTGGTCTTTATTTTTGGACAACTTTTTGTGTTGTAGTTGGGAAAAAAAATCTCTATATTTTCAAATCATTTTTCTTTTTACACTTTTATCTGTTTTCATTTTTGCATTTTTCTCTGTAGAAAATACAAACACTCAGCCCTTGAAAACCTCATGAAGCATCACTTAATATGATGGTTTGTAGTTTGCAAGCAATGGGTTTTACATTCAAACTAACCTGAAGCATCAGTGTGCATTCAGAGGTTTGATAGAAAACTGGAGTCAAGCTGCAGATTGCATCCATTTCTTTCCAGACTCATGCATGCAGTGAAGACTTTGAAGGGTGTAAGTTCATTAAGGGACATAAAAAGGAGTCAAATCCCTTGTGTGTGACCTGAGACACATGTAAGATCTACAAAACGACCACAATTTGAAAACGGGTAGTGAATAGATTGTTATGGTGTTGAGTAATGGTCAGAAAAGTGTTTGTGCGGAAGCTGATCTTTGACCATTTGGATATAAAATGTAATCATGTCATGCTGTTAGACATTTGTGTGAAATTTTGTAAATGAATTCTTGACTTGTGGCCGTAGACATGCTTCGTGGGGTCACAGTGACCTATTCGACCGCCAAAATCCAATCAGTTCAACGTTGAGTCCACGTGAACATTTGCGCCAAATTGTGAGAAACTCCCCGCAGACGTTCCAGAGATACAACATAATCCCTAGACATTAATATCTTATTGTTATCGACGACAAACACGTGTAAATCTGCTGAACTGGGTGCTGGATTGTTGTGGGGTCTCCTCCTTCAGGGCTTTGACAGTGTGATTCTGGATCAACGTTGGCTTCTCATTGCCAAGCCAAGTGTGAAAAATGCTTTCCAGCGGCGACCTACTTTAAAATGCAAACCTGGATTAGCGCGCGAGGTTAAGCTGTCTGAGAAATTCTTTAAAATAGAAGACCTTTGATTTGTCACTGGTGGGGCAACAAAGCTGTCTTACTTAAGTGGTTTATTTGGGCTGAGAAAGCGATCCCGGCAGCGACACAATTGCTTAAAGGAGTCAGTCGGTTTTATTTACTCCGCTTCGCTCGCCTTCCTGTAACCACCTTTATTTGTCCGAGAGGTCATGTTGGGTTGTTGTGCACGACGCGAACAATGTGTGTTCACGTCTGTCAGTGTGTGTCGACACAAAAAACAAACAGCTGTATATGCACTGGTCTGTCCCATTCAGCCAGCCGATCCCCGTGTTTGTAGAGCCTGAACATACAAGAGGTCTTTTCTCTGCTCGGTGTCACAACACAATCAAGACCCTTCTACCTCTGAGGAAACCCTTGAAGTCCTAGAGTGTGGTAAAAATAATAAGGTTTGCCATTTTCATGCACATTAAAGGATAAAAGTATGAATAATATTTACTGCAAACAAAGAGGATCACAGTTAGGACTCGGGATCGACCGATAGGGGAGTTCTGGGGCCGATGCTGGTTATTGGTAAACTGATATTTGAAGCCGATATACATTGAATATTATATTTTAACAGCATGTGATAGAAGAAAACCTGTCCTTCAATATGAGGCTTCTTCATTTATAAGGGTTGCTATAACTGAATATGTAGAAGTGATGATGTCAGAGCATCACGGGACGCTCGATACTGATCGATAACTGTTTGTCTCCTTCAGTTCTGTCTGCTGTACGTCTGTTATCTATATCATTTGCTATTCTATTACTAGATATTGTTTCAGGGTAATCTTTGACTGCCTTTTAACTTAGCTGCTCGCTGTTAGCCTTAGCCACTGTGAAAGCAGCTAATTTCCTGATTTGTTGTGATGGTTACGTTGCTGCTAAAGAGACCTGTCTATCAGATAAAGCAGATTGTTAAAGTTAAGCTGACGCTTGGAAGATGTTAAGTTACTCCTGATCGCATTAGCTGCAGGCTAACAAACACAGCAAACCTCTTAGGGATAGCTTTAGCCTAGCATAGTCAGCAGAATAAGTTTTCAGCTGCACCAACCCCAACAAATGACTTATTTCGGCATTTTCAGTGTAACCGCTAAAACGAGCATGTGTCATACAACTTTATCAACATCCTACCTCACTCTCATGGATCCGCTCTGCAAATGTGCTCATCTGTCCCTCTGTGTAAACAATAGCTTAGGCTGCATCAGGGCCAAAGTAACTGATTAAAAAGAAAAACGATGCACATAATCCGTAAAAATGCTAAGTATCGATCAATATTTCGTCCATCCCTATCTTGTAAGGTACGATGGTTAAAGGACAAAAACTCTGGACGTCTTAACTTCAGTGTTGACAAGCAAACCTGGTCTCTTTTTTCCTTCTGACAGCTGTGTTTATGAAATGAGGTCTCTTGTAACGCTAATATTATTTGCGTTTGTTGCAGCCAGACAAGCAGCCTGGTGTCCCTGCGTCCAGGCAACCCGATGTCCATCATGACTACGCATCTGGGCCTCCTCGTTCTGGGTGAGTAGAAGATCTGGTTGGTCTGTTTTTGTTCAGGGTGCTTTCAAATCCCATTTCGGCTGAGACCATCTGAGAAAGAGGTTTTGGACTGTAGTTTGTGTGGCTGGATCATGGTGTGAAAGCAAAGCATTGAAGCTGAACTGGTAAAACTATTTCACAGTTATGGACTTTAAAGACTTAGATTTAGAATTCTGTTGTTACAGCAGCAATATTCAACAAGGGGTAAACAAGAGTCTTATTATCTTAAAGAATCTTATTGCTGTCGGGAGGAATGACCTCCTGTAACGTTCCTTGGAGCAGCGGGGTTCTATCAGTCTGTTGCTGAAGCTGCTCCTCAGTCTGTCCACAGTTTTATGGAGGGGATGTGAGGTGTTGTTTATCATGACCTGCAGGTCGGTCAGCATCCTCTGCTCCACCACCTCCTCCAGCGTGACCAACTGACAGCCAACAACAGACAGGTTTTTTTCTGCACATTGAAATTTAGCAACAATATTTCAGGACATATGAAAGATAAAAGCAGCAAAACACCCCCACAACATAATGCTGCCACCCCCGTGCTTCACAGTAGAAGTTATAAAAGACAACGTTTTCACTTCGCCTTGATGCCTGTGCCCCAGCACACCACAGCGAAGAGGATGGCGCTCGCCGCCACAGACTGATGAGACATCAGGAGCATGCGATTGCATACATTGAAGGACCTGAGTGTTCTGAGGAAGTAGAGTCGGCTCAGGCTCTTCTTGTAGATGGCCTCTGTGCTGGTGGACCACTCCAGCTTAATGTCCAGACTCACTCCCAGGTACTTGTCAGTCTGGACAATCTCAACATAAAGAAAGCAATTTGTATAATAAAGCAAGACCGTTTTGTAACCGTGGTTTCACAGAAGGGCATGACGTCATGAGTGATCTTTGCTTGATTGAATGGCTTTTTAGAATATGTTTTCCTCACAAGGGTCCAGATATTGCATTGGATACAGGATGACAATCTGCAGAATGATCCAGCAGTGAAGAGTCTGTAAAACGCAGCAGTAGCTCATATCTTTGTTTTCTTGGTTTGGACCAAATAAACATTTTCGTGTCCTTTTCATAACTGACTGAGCAGTTATGATGAGCTGAAAGTAATAATTTAAAATAGCCTGAATAGCCTAATCCAAACAGATCCATAAGAAAATGATTTGTATTTAAGATGGTTATAGTTTTTATTTTCAGACCCCACTTTGTAGACATGAAGATGTTTCTTTCATATTTCAACTCACCCATAATCGGAGACTATTTGATCTCCAGTATTGCAGATTGTCATGAAATAACAGTGAACATTTCTGACTTTTATCTTTAATTATTCTTGAGATGCTGTCGTTCAAACAGCCTCAAATTTCAACGTGACAAAACTTTCTGAGAGCAGGTTGACGGGCATTTACAAAAAAACAACAACACAGAAAGTATTTGATATATGAAGCAAAACTATCCCAGATACCAGTTTGAATATCCAGAGCTTATGTTAAAACAATTCAATCAAATCAGAGACGGCTGAGCAGAAGACCCCTGATGGTTTGAGAAGGATTAAACCAGGTGAGGGAGTTGAGCTCCTGCTGATTGTCTCGGTCAGACCTGCTCAGAATGACCTTATTAAAGCAGAAGCCAGTCTCACCTTTTTCCATCACTACATGACATCCTTCTCACCTGATCTGTGGCTGACCAGGGTGAAAACTTAATAACATCCGCACAGATTCTTTTGCGATCACGGGACTTCCTCGACTGATTTGTCCTCAGCAGGTAAAAATGTGGTAATTGCTGCTGGATGCGGCTCGAGCCGGTTTCCTGAGCTCCGTCTCTGCACCGTCTTTAGATCTACTCCATCATTTTTCACGGACCTTAATCACAGCGTCGAGCTGCGACCGCAGGTGTTTGTGCTCAGTTGTGTTTACTGCGAGTTACGGGGATCAGTGAGAATTCAAATCTGCTTTGATTCGCTGATCCCAAGTTTTAGTTAAAATTACACGGTGGCAGGACCCAGAATGATGATAATAATAATAAAAATATGTCATACCTTTATACTTAGAAGAATATGAATGCATTACTCATCGAGCGATATTTGTGGAATAAGACGGAAGGATCGACTGGCTTCCAAACGAGGTGCGACTGAGCACAAGTGAAGACGATTTTAAACCTGCTTCCACGTCTGCAGTGTCTTTGAAGTTTGTATATTTTGGCCACAACCAGCTAATAAAGGAGTCTGTGACTGACAACATTAAAACCTCAGCGTCTGTCTGATAGACTCACTTCAAAACCCAGGAACTCCAATTTACATATTTTCCTGCAGACTCACTCGTGTCTGCTCTGCACAGCTCATTCAACTCGGGGAAGATTCAAATGGATCTGGTTGTCTGCTGGACTCCAGTCAAGTCCGTCCCAACTGAACGCCAGTTTTAGAAACAGAGTTTTGTGGCCAGCTGACGTGTTTGAAAACTCTTATTTTGACATCTGCTCTGAACACTTGTGTCTTCAAGCATAATTAGTTGCCTTGTCAATTTAATTATCTAAACAATTATGTATTTTTGGGATCAATAGAAACATATTTTGTGTTTCAAGGCAGAGAAATGTGTAAAACGCCTCAAAGAGTGACGCTTTATGTGAGTTTTAGCAGCATAACAAGCAGTAGCCTCATGATTCTGCTGCAGCAGTGTTGTTTTTTTTCTGCGAGCAATTGAGCATAAAAAGTTTTGTCGACTGAGATTCGACTCATCAACCAACGTCTGATCTACTATTCGGCGGCAGCTCTAGTTCTGAATTAAACTTTTAAATCTATACTCATAACATATAAACTTACTTCTCACATCTTTAAAGGCTAAACAATCTGAACACAATCTTTATGTAGTGCGCTTGTAGGAGGACTAATTTCTTGATGCACATGTTTGGGAATAACGCAGAATGTGTTCTTGATATTGAAGGAACGTATCCGTTAGTACAACAGTGTGGAGCTCAGTAGGTGTTAGATGATGGATTTTTGTACTTTATATGGAGTTCATGAAAGTAAGAAAAATAAAGAATGTCAGACTTAATCTTTAATGAGGACATTCTCATCCAGAAATGTTTTAATCCTCTGCTTTATATTGTAGTTAAGGATCATATAAAAACAAGATGGATGGCTTTAAATTGTTCGTACTTTGCACTGAAAGGCAAACTGGTCTGCTTCATCTGAGGAAGAATAAACAAAGACTTTTATGGTTATTGCAGCCTCTTGGTTAAATTTTGTCCAAAATTTGTGCGCGTGCATTAAACTGCAGACTCGTAGCATCGGAGAATGAAGTTCACCTGCACTGATGAGAAATGTTTTGTTTTTCTTACTTCAATTAAATTCAAACTTTTGTTTTCCCACCACCAGCTACTTTAGTTCAGTCTGCTACGAAGACGACAGAACGTTGGTTGAGTTTGTTTATTTTGGATGGGACACAATTAAAAGTAAAATTAAAAGGAATTGCTCTCGAGTTAGCCAGCAGCTAATTTGCATCTGTTGTCCCCGTGCAAAGGTAAAGATAAAGAGAACAACCACGGAGCAATTAATTCACTTTATAAAACAATGCAAAAAATCCATCAGTGTGAGATAAAAAAATAAATAAAGGGTGGTAATTTTCTGCTAACTTTAGCCAAATCTTCAGGCCTTTTTTTTAAATGCTGCAAAGATTCTTGAGTCTCTAATGTTTGTGTGGATGAACTTTTCCACTGCTTTAACTGAGAACCTCTAGTAGATGCTCTACCTGCACGGACGCTGCATTCTCCACCAGTTTCAGTTTCCACCTGCAGAACGGCTCCGTGACGATAAATCTCTTTAGTTTATCGGGTCAGCTCGCGGGATTTGGACCGGACTCTGAACTCGGGAGAATGTGGGGTATTTGTGGAATGCGTAGTGGATGACGGGCCACTGACAGCAGGACACATCGAATAAGGTTAACGGCTCAATGTGCATTTAAAAAAAAAAAAGGGCCACACACACACACATAGGGCTGAAGTTAAATTAGCTTTGTTTCACCGACAGGATTTGTGAAGCCCACATGTAGCACACTTCCTAACGCTCCTACAGGCAGGTATCTGGGTCAGCCTCCATGTTGATTATTAACCAGAAGAATGCTGCATTCATGAGCGGGCCGGGCCTGGCACTGTCAGCTCCAATAAAAGTGAGCTTGGCTTCATGTATTCAATGAATGGACGAAAGAGTGAATGAGCATGTCGGCCACCTTGGCTAGATCAATATTTTCTTAATAGGCTTTAAAGGCTCTTGAGGTGTGAATGTAAAGAAATGTGGCTTCTGTATAAAACATTTTTTTAAAAAAACCCCAGTAACATTCAGTGAGTGTCGAAGTCTGCCTCCTTCTAGAAATCTGGTTCAATAAAATGAAGGTAAAAGTTCAATGGGTCAAGATGCGATATGGCCCCACAACAACATATTATCAGTAAATACTAAAGATAGTGTAAATAAACCTACTTTGTATTGATTTTGCAGAGACGAAAACACCTGTACATCTGTGCCTTCAGAGGATTACCATACATTCTCAGATATTTACCTCAATGCAAAGAGAATCGGGCTTTTGTTTGACATTAATTAATAAAAAACAGGTCTTTAGTTAGTGAATGCAAGCTCGCACTTCGTCCTTGGTCACCTGTTTACAGATTTGGTACAATACTAGGGCCATGGGAGTGGTTTTGCTTTCCATTTTCCACCACAAATGATGATCAGATCTTTACCTCAATGCAAAGAGAATCTGGCTTTTGTTTGACTTTAATTAATAAAAAACAGGTCTTTAGTTAGTGAATGCAAGCTCGGACTTCGTCCTTGGTCACCTGTTTACAGCTTTGGTACAATACTGGAGCCATGTGAGTGGTTTTACGTTCCATTTTCCACCATAAATGATGATCAGCGTTTCCTCCAGAGGCCCGAGTCTTGTAGTTTTCCGCCTATAGGTTGGTTTATTTATGGTAGTTTAACGTCGTTTAGGTGTACAGCAAATA